AGGAGAAAAGGTGGGTGGTTGAAAACATTCGTATCAAAAATTTTATTAGTCTAGAAAAAATTGGGATTTTGGCCTACTTTAATAAAACTGACCCAGCTAGGGAAAGGTTGTGTAAATGGATTTTGAAAATTCCAGGTTACTCTTTCCAGCATTTAGACGTTAGGATTTTTTAAAGGAAAGAGCGCCGTTGAGTAAAGCACGGGTTTTGACACCGATATTTATCACTAATCTGGACTGTGTTAAATTTTTATAACACTTTTAGCGTACGTAGATCAAGTATAACACCGCAGCCAATAGCGAATTCTAAAGATTCTCTTCAACGGTTCTAGGGATGATTGTAGACGGAATGGTAGAGCCCCACTTGAACTACATCTACTGGACTGAAAAAGAGTACAACGTCCCTGGACTGTTGCACCTGGAAAAGGGCAGCGCCCTATCCAGACGGCTCGGAGATGAAATAGTGAGCTTCTACTTTGGAAACGGGCCGATATCCAGAGACACGCACTTGCGGCAGTTCTACGACGTAACTCCACCCCCTAAGCCAACGTTCAAACATCTAATTCCTGCCCCATTCGCAGATAACCACCGATAATTCGTTCCTCAGGGGCATTTTCAGTTCGGTCCAGCATCACCTGCGCACCTCCAACTGCCCCATCTACATGTACCGGCTGTCTCTGGACTCAGACCTATGCTTCTACAAGCGCATGCTGGGCATTGAGCTACCGGGTAAGTTCTGAAGCCTTCTGAACGGCAACGGGCCACTGTGGAACTTTTCCAGGCGTTTGTCATGCTGACGAGATCGGCTACTTGTTCTCCACCCTACTAACTTCCGCTCCAGAAGCTGGAAGCGTGGAAGATGTTGCCCAGAGGCGCATGTGTCGGCTCTGGGCCAACTTCGCCAAGTACTCCAATCCGACTCCGGTTCTGGATCCGCTACTGGAAATCACTTGGCCTCCAGTCGCCGACCATCAGAACGTGGCCTTTCTGGATATTTGCCAGGAACTGAAGGTGGAGTTCGATCCGGAACCCGAACGCATGAAGTTTTGGGAGCGGATTTACTCGGAGGGTTTACTTGTTTCGAAACTATAAAAGGCAAATTTGGGCACGTTGAGTTTTATTGGGGAGAAAGCCTTTAGGTTCCAGTAGGCCTGCGTAACACTGTGTTGAGTTGCGCGTTTGAGTTGTTGCCGCTCTCTGAGCTAATGAGTTTTAACTCTTTGGTTAATGGGTTATAACTCATTTACCTGTGACGTGACCGACACTGSAATTTTAACTGGAAAGTTTTGGTCTAAAACGGAAAAAACCGGAAGTTTTGAAGAAACTTACAAAATCTACCGAGCGATGATGGTGACGARATTTGGCTTTCTCTGGTCGTTTTTTGAGGAAATCCRAATTTTGTCGAAAKAAAACACGATAACTTTGTGACCAAACTGTAAAGACGATGACTTTTCTTRTAAAATCTTTCTTTTAACTTTTTTGCATAAAATAYTCTCAGTTTGCCAGTATTTTACAGTAAAACGTTAGGAAAAAACGCGTTGTTTTGTTTAGAGAGAGTTTTGTTCAGAAATATTGACGTAAAAGTGAACAAACCGGAATAAATAAACCAAATTACTCACAGCGACAAACGT